GAGTGCAAAGGATTTTCAGCCAAGTATCAAAACCAGTCTTTATGTAGAAAACTATGTTCGTTTGTCAAACTCATTTTAAACCTATGAAAATGGGATGCTATGTATAATATGGCTGTGATTTCTAAATAGCTAATGTTAAATTGATCCTAACTATTGAATTAAAGAATCTTTGTTTTGATTGGTTGAATTAAAATGTCCTTTGGTGTGGTACAGAGGTAAAACTACAAAAACTCTCACTGTCCAAATAAAAAATGATCTAACTGTGTGTCACAGCTTTCAAGTCTTTTTGTCTCTTCTTTTAGTAGCCCTGTTTGGAAAAACAAACGGGATGGTGAAATATTTATGAGTGGAATTAGTGTCAAACATCTGCGTCTCCTCTGCCCAGTTCGGATGACAAACAGGTTGCTGTTGATTCAAATGGACAGAGTTAAATTAGGGTGCCTTTATCTCCTAGCAATAAAGGCCAGCAGGTCTACAGTACAACACAGTTTAATGCAATGGTTATTCCATTAAGAGCAGTCTTGCCTCTAACATGAGCCAGCTGGTCATCATAAAACCAGACAAATAAAACCAGCAGTATATGCAGAGTATTCATTTGTAAGACAGACAAACGACGAATACAGTTGTAATTTCATAGCAAAAACATCTTAAATTGCTGTATTATAAAGTACTGCCGTTCAGTTTGTGTTAAACAATAACACAATTTCATCTAATGATGAAATAGTCACAGTTTTGTCCAGTGATTTGTCTTCAGACGAGGCTATAAATGTTGTTGATCAAGCATATTTAAAAAGATGCAGTTACATTTGATCACTATCTGTAGTAATCTCACCTTTGCAGATAGGAGTCGCTTTTTCTGTGGGTAGAATTTGTTTTCCTTTTCGGTCCTTGTGGTGTCCATGTTTTGCTTGTGTCAATTCCTACATCCACCCTGCCTGCAGCTCCAGATGCAATTGGCATCTTTGATAGCAGAAGTACAAATATCAGAAAAAAAACAAATCAAAACCAAAACTCTCAGTCATGTGGATGCAAACATGCACAGTTGCTCTTGTAGCTGAAAGAGGAGCTTGCCTTTCCGGACTTCACACACTCCTTGTTCTCTTGTAGACTTGGGTGATATGTTGGTAAGAAAGTGCGGCTCTGCAGTTTATGTGGATGTTTGTTGTTGTATCCATGGCAACAGTACCCCCAAAAGAATGAAACAGCAGTGCCTGTGGCTGCAATGAATGCAATCAGGGCCACCTTCTTTACTTTTAATTCTTAAAAAGTATATATGTATTTTTATATATATATTTGTTTGTTGTTGTTAGATTTATTTTTTAAAAAATGACTCAATTTTAGTAAAAACTAACATCAAATCTGTTATAAAAATATTCTAAGGAAATGTTCTCAAAAAAGAACACATCATACTCAACAGACTTCTAAATAACAGATGAGATGTATTTCGTATTTTGATTACAGATGCATTCTTGTTTTTGTACTTTAAATAGGACACCAAAGTCAGAAAGGGTTGAAGTGAAAGTAATTCATCAGTGTTCTTGCAGCTCTCTCAATATAGGAACAAAAATAATAGTACAATAAGAATATATAATGCAATATCTTTTTTGTAAGCAGAGGAAAATATAAAATAATGTCATTGCCATTTATGGATTCATGGTCATCAGGATTTGGTCTGGGTTTTTGTTGTTGTTGTTGTTTTTTTCTATTTTGGATTCTTAATTGATGTATTTGAGGTTTGATATATGGTTGATATGATATTTATGGTTGATTGATGTTTTATTTGATCCAATCCAATCATTTTTATATATAAATATAAAGCACATTTGAAACAAAAAAGTTAACCAAAGTGCTGTACATTAAAAGGAAAGTTGTTAAATAAAATAAAAGATGCGCCATACACAGTTGCACACACACATCAATAATTATATCTAAAGCATTACAGAAATACAGGAGACAAATAAGCTACTTTTGCCTTTTTCCTTGTCACAAGGAGTCACCACAGCAGGTAGCTCAGCATGATTTGGAGGAGTTTTACCACAGATGCCCTTTCAGACACAACCCCAAAAAGTATTTGTTTACCTTTGCTTTTTAGGTGACTCTGTAAACAATTACACAGTCTAATTTAAAATCAATTAGGACGTTTTTGAAGATGTCATAAATGTATTCTTAGTTATTTATTTTAAATGATTACATCATTTTGATATTTTTAGGCCTCTACTACACACTTTGATGGTACATGATGAAATTTATTCAACACGGTTTACTGTTTCGGTTTGGGCCATTTTATTCTCAAACAACTTCAAAAATATATATATTCCAGACATCCTCACTTCATAAGACAACTGTTAGAGACCAATAAAAGCACAATCAGAAAATCTTAAAAAAAAAATGTCAAAAAAATATGAAACGAAAAACTGAAAAACACTTAACAACAATAGGCTAGGTTCCAATTGTCCAGTGTCTTGTCATATTGATTCTCATGTTGTCAGATATTGCTGTCACTCTGTGTGAAACAGTTCTTCTGTGGTGTCAAATAGAGGTTTACATCATACAAATCACTTTTGAACCCAGGCACCCTGCATCTTCCTTTGTTCAATTCAATTTTATTTATATATCGCCAAAAATTACAACAGCACTAAGCTCAGATGCTTTATGTTTTAAAGTAAAGACCCTACAATATAAGAAACTCCAACAATTGCATGACCCCCAAAGAGCAAGAATTTGGCAACAGCGGGAAGGAAAAACTCCCTTTTAATATCAAGAAACCTCCAGCAGAACCAATCTCAGGGTGGTGTAGTTATCTATGTGACCAGTTGGTGATGAGGGGGTTGTCACATATTGGCCAGAGTGATGCAA